GAGGGTGCCGTCTTACCACTTTTCTATGGTTCACCTTAGTAGAAAATATTTGAGATTTCCCTTCTCTGACAGCTTTTCACCTTATACAGGTTCCAGCTTTTATAAGTTTTACTGTATATAAAACATATCAAAAAGAATTCCTATGAAGGAGATGAGAATGGATAAGAAATTGAGAAAAAGTAATTAAAATAAAACAAGAGGACTGCACAGACTGATGATTGCAATTTGCCTTAAATCGAGGAGCATGTTTGAGTCAGTGCTCTGCACATGAGGTCAATTAGGGGGAAAAAAAAGTTTGTATGTGTGTACATATAACCCCAACCAAATTCACCACCATCAAGTCAATTCCAACTCACAGCTACTCTACGAGACAAAGTAGACCTGCCGAATAGGGTTTCCAAGGCTGTAAATGTTTACAGAAGCATACTGCCACAGCTTTCTTCCAAGGAGTGGCTTGTGGGTTCGAACCACCGACGTTTTGGTTAGCAGCCAAGCATTTTAACCACTGTACCACCAGGGCTCCTGTGTACACATATAATGCATAAAAATATTTAAACGGATATATATTAAAATATTAGTAGTCGTTTTCTTTGGAGTGGTTTGAAAGGTGAGTCATTTTTTTCTACACTGAAAATATTGTATAGTAAGTACAAAGTATTTTTTTGTTTTTAATGTTTTAAAAATCCATCTTACTACTCAGAACTTCTTTGCTGCTGTTGGATAAATGTACAATAACCTACTAAAGTCAGCTGCCTGTGTGGCCGCAGTCATTTTATTGTTTTTCCAGAATGTTCCAAAATAGCTCTGGAATAAGACCAGTGGGACCACCAGATAGCTATCCAGCCTCACCCTTCTTCTCATGCAAATGAAGACCAAGCCTCCAATCCAGCTTTGACAGAAACCTCTATGGACCTGGGATAACAAGGCCCTCTCCTCAAGAAGGCGGGGCGACACTCATAACTCTGGGAGTCAGCTCAAAACACCCTCTGAACTCTGAGCAGCAGTTGCCAAAGACAAAAGGTTCCACCTCAGGGGTGGAAACTCTATTTGCAGCTTTGTAGACACAGGTGTTCTTCCCAACGACCTACAGTGTGGGACTGTGTTTGGCCGGAATAGCTCAGAAGTCCTTTCCTCAGAAGCCAGCTCCTGAGGCCTTCAGTGTATGTTCTAACTATATTTGGCAGTGAAAACCAAAAAGGTCAGTGGCTTGACAAGGTGGGGGGGCCTATTCCTGATTTATAATTCCTGCTTCAAACCAAGACCAAGAATTTTAAAACTCACTTTATTTATTTATTTTGCACTCACTGGAGCTTACAACTTAAGTAGCTCTTTCCCAGCCCTTCCAGCCCTCATGTAAATCTTTTACAACCACAGGTATAAATCACCTACCTTGTATTAGCCATCCTTGTATTAGAGGACATTTGGGGACATCTGGCTTGAGAACCCAGAAGTTAAAATAATCCCACTTTACTCCCTATGTCTTCATAGCATTAAAATAGCCTGTAGCACTTGGGTGCAAATCCAGACTCCACTATGCATTACTCACTGTGTGACTTTGGTTAAATTACTTTATGCCTCCGAAGTTCAGTTTTCTTGTCTAGAAGCAGAGATAAGAACACCTACTTCACAGGGTTGCTTTAAGGACCAAAGAAGATAAGGCATATAAAGTGGCTCGAAGAAGGTCTGACACAAAGCAGAAAATAATCCATGTGCACCCCTCCCATCACTGCTCTCAACCCTTAGCTGTTTAGCCAAGGTGTTGGCTTTTCAAGAAATCTCCTGGTACCCTGTATCTGATTACAAATGGATGGTATCATTCCCACAGCCAGCAACAGTAGCTAAAGATAAAAGCTGAGAGTACTCTTCAGCTGTGGACAGGTCAAATCAACTCACACATGACTCATCGCTGTTGATAAACGATGTGTTCTTGGCATCAGGAGGCCCTATCCTGATAGGTTTCAGCACCTTATTTAAAAGAAAAAAAATATAGAAGGTAAATTGACCTTGTACAGGGGTTGATGGTGATCTTCTGTCAATTCTGAATTCATATTAGACTGTTCTCAGGAGGGTCTCTGTCTTCTCAGACATGTCTCCAGTCACAGGATTTCCAGTTGGGAAGACTCCAGCTGAGCAGCTGCCTCTTTATCTCAGAGCTGAACCATCTCCTTCACTTGCTTTGGATTCCCTGAAGTCATAAGACTGCCTGGGCAGAAGGCTAGAGATCTGTCCTCTGCTCAGAACAGCCCTAAGCTAGTGCCCAACCCGCCTTTGGCAGTTTTGTCTGCAGCCTGAAGCCCTGCCAGGGTGAGGTTTGGCTGGAGGGCTCTGTGGCTATGGTTTAACCATGAGCCACTGTCTGTGAGGTGCAAGTTTGCGGCTCTCTGCAGTTTCTGTAGCTCCCTCAGACCACCTGGAACCACTCGCTGGCACAGAAATTCCACTACTGGAATTTTTAGTCACTCTTTCATTCATAGATGCCCCGTACCTTACGCAGTCCAGCATTTCAAGTGAATATTTGTTAAATGGCCCTGGAAGACACTAATATTCTTTTGATTCATTTTGTAGCCCCTCAATTCTGGTGAATCTCACAAAGTCATTGTTAGGATCAATCAGAAAAGAATTATTTGACCATTGACACTATCAATAGCTAAGTGTCCAAAAATGAGGCCTTGTATAGCCTTAGGGAAATGCCATGTGCCAGGGTCTACTTTCTTTTCAATTTCAACTACTTCAGCATTGTCCCAGACTAGGACCCAGCTCTTTCATTGGGTTTTAAAGGAACTCACTATCCTACCTCCTTAGAAGAAGTCCTGTGATACACAATAGAGGCAAAAGGCCCAGGAGGGAAAAGACTGTTCCCAGAAATATTCCCATTCTCCAAACTCACCTTCAGGTTTTCTTAGTCAGGAAGGTTGCTGAGATCTCTAGAAGAACCAGCATTTCAGCCGTGGTTTGCAAATGAAAAGACCAGGGAACTTTCTGGAAAGGAGAAGCATTGGCTCCCTATCCTGGGTCCTTGGGGTACTGGGTGAGACAGTGGAGCAAGGAAATAAACCGGGGAGCCTCTTCCATAGGCAGGTATCTTGCCTCTCTCTACTACCCCCCCCCCCACACACACACACTTCTGTACTAACTGTTCCACTATCCCCATATCCTTTCTAGTCATGCAATGGGGGGTTAATGTCCAGCTTCCAACACCGGAACTGGGATCAACCTTCTAAGATGATAAAGCAAAAGCAAGCAAGGGGGAAGAAGTAAGGAAAAAGGAAGGCAAGAGAAAAGTGGAGAAAAAAAAAAAAATGAAAAGAGTTTGGGAAGGAGGAAGGAAGAGGAGAGCTACAAGGGGAGGCGAAACAATGAGGGTCTCAGGTCCTCAGACGCGCACGGTTCCGGCTGCACGTCCGTCCAGCCAGTCTCCGGCCAACAGCTGCACGCTGCGCAGCGTGCGGGCGCTGAGTCACTGTCCCAGAACACGGAGCTGCAGTGCAGGTCTTGGCGGGGGGGAACGGGTCGGCCCTGGTTGGCATCTGCAAACCGTTTTTTTTTTTTTTTTCCTTTCCTCTTTTATTAAGGTTATGTGCTGACTCCCACGTAGGAGGATTTATTAAACCGCACGTACTGCCTGACGGCTCGCAGCTGCCGGTAGGGTGCGCTACAGCCACGCTTATAAACCCGATGGCCAGCTGGGCCCTTGGGCCAAAGAGGACTGGGGTTGTTGACCAGGTCCAACTGTGGTTTCCCGGAGGTGTCCCAACATTTTGCTGGCGTAGCTTCTAACTTTAACACCCGCGGCAGCCTGAATAAAACCTCACTTAGAAGGCCTCGGAGACCCCAACTCTCCCAGACGCGTTTTTGTGCTGGGTTCCTTGAGCAACTCTATAAATTTGGGACTCTGTTGCGCAACCGGGAGGGTCTTTATTTGCCTCTGTACTAGGGCTGACCCCACCCCGCCCGGTCTGGCCGCCACGCGAGGCGGTGACCTTGGGCGTCTCCACAAAGCCCTGACCCGCGCCCAGGGCACGCGCTCTGCGCGCCCCACATGGACAACCTAGCTCGTGACGGCTCAGCCCCTGAGGGTTTAGACAGTGCAGAGACCACAGCGCGCATAGTTGCTGCCGTCACATTTCTCGAAACCAGGCGGAGGGACCCCGCGGCTCAGGAGCGGGTTAAGACGAGGGCACCCATCCTTCTCAAGACGCTTAAATTGAGAATGAATCAGCATTGAGACAGTTTATTGGTTTGCTATTTCGCATATCACCCATTTTATGTAAATAGATTATACAGAGACACGGTGTTTCCTTCTTCCACAGGAGGTAATTAGTCTCTTTCTCTCACACACACAACCCACACAGCAAACAACATTACACCTCGCTGAGACATTCTTGTATTAAAATAGGAGAAGGGTGGGTGGGTAATACAATTGCTTTTAAATGCCCTGAATACAATATATAACGTACAAAAATATCTCTATATTTGAAGTTATAACACAAATCTTGACAGCAATAAACTTAAATATTGATAGTTACCTCTGTATATACAACACGCATTGCACTTTTCCTCTCTAGGTTTTGGAAAGTTCAAGTAATCGTGAGGCTTGCGCCCCGGTGGGGTGACACCCCGTGAAGAATCAGTTTGAGGGCGGGCACTGCAGTAGCTGAGACCCCTGCCCCGGAAATCTCAGCATTTATCCCTCGGTTTCTCCTCTCCGTGAGCCTGGGAGACAGTCACTGGGATTCCTCTGTCCCCCTGGAGCACCCGGGCCGGATCCAGGCTAATGGAGCACTGCTCCCAGAGGAGGGACCTCTGCAAAGCGAGGGCTCTCCGCCGGACAGTGCCTCCTCGACTCGAGATCTTTGCAGGGCTCTGTCTCAGCATGGTCCCCATCTAGCTGAAGAGCTCGGCTCGGGGAAGCCCTCCGCCCCGGGGGGCGCCAGCGAGATGCTTGCGAGAATGTTCGCTGCTGCCACAGACGCTTAAATCCTGAGTAGGGCGGCTAACACTTAGTGCGCCCGGGAGGCTGGAGCTCCCCGTGCCTGTGGCTCCCGGGACAAGACAGTCCGGCCTCTGCCGGTCTCCGACAGGGAGCGCCGGCGCCGACGGCCGTAGCCCTGGGGGCTGATCTTGTTTCTGGGGGCGACGCCGTCCTTGTCCTTGTCCGTGAACTGGTAGATCTGGTGCGCCAGCTTCTGCACAGTGCATGTTCCGAAGCGGCAGCCAAAGCTTCGCAGGCCCTGGAAATTGTTCATGCTCTGGCGGTAGCGCTTGACTCGGATGCGGGCAGCGTCCGGATTGCTGACAAGGGGAAGAAGGGCAATGTGAGACCCCCACCAACTAGGGCCTTGGCCTAAACCACCAACGACGGGAGCCCGAGAGGGCTGGCTGAAAACGACTCCCGCCTTCTGAGCTGCCACCCAGCTTTGACTCTTCCCAGGGCCAAGAGCTCTCCCAGCCCAAGTACCCCCGCCCCCTGGGCAGCATTCACTTTAGTTACCTGGTCTGGGGGCTGCGAGAGGCTCCCTTCACGTCCTGGGGCCGAACGAGAGTTTGGGCAGGCCCGGCCTTCACGTCAGCGAGACCAGTGGGGTAGTTGTTGAAAATCCGTAGGTCCCTCTTTCCACGACTTAGAGCCCACTTACTCCATCTAGAAAACACAAGCAAACCAGTTTCGCGTGTATCCGGGCAAGGTCCCGGCCTGCACTCTGCCCAGAGCCGGACCGTGAGGTCGGCCCAGACTATCACTTCTAACCCCTGGGGACCAATGGCCTGTTTCCCTTGTTTGCCAGGTGTGAAGATTGCGGAAGGCACTGGCCGGAACTTACTTTTTTCGGAACTCCGTCGCCACGTCGAGCCTAGCTGTGTCTGCAGCTAGGAAGGAGAGCGAGCCCAAGTACATAAGGGCGACTGGCATCAGTTTCATCCCGGCGGCGATGCGCAGACCCTGGGGAGAGAGAACCGGGAGCCGAGCGTGAGCATCCGGGCCAGTCGTACCGCTCCGGAGGGGCACGGGGGGAGGCGAGGGCCCCGCCGCTGGCGGGCTTAGCCCTCGTTCGGCTTGGCTCAGACGCTTATCTCCCTGGGGCGCAGAAAGGCGCCAGCGGCGTTTGCACCGGCTGGCGGGTGACATGCCCCGCGGGGGAGGCCGCTGCAAAGCGCCAGGCTCCCAAAGGTTCCCTCCTTAACTTCCTGGGACTTGGCTGACAAGAGTAAAGTTGTTTGGATCGCTGTGCGCGGGACCTGGGCCCATAACAGGAGTTGTAACCCGCAGAAGACTCTCCAAAGTGTGTTGTACACCTCACCCAACGCACCCAATCTCGAGCCTCAGCAAGGGACCCCTTAACCCGCGGGGCTTACGGCACCTACCTGCTGAGGGGGTATCTGCCAAAAATAGGGAGGAGAAAGTCCGAGAAGTAGCTCTGGCAGTAGCAAAACCCTAACGTCCAAGTCTCTCTGCGGTGAGAAGCAAGAGGTGGCAAGACTAGAGCTCTTCAGCCTGGTGTCACCAAGAAACCACTGAGTGGTCAGCTCTCGTTCCCTTGCTTTATAAGAGCGCGGGGGCGGGGCCTGGTTTGCCCACGCGCCCTCCCTTTTTTCTCTCGGGCGCGCGCGCTCCTCTCCAGTGCGCGCATTGCTTTCCAGTGAGTGTGGGGTTAGAGGGGGGTCCCTCGCACTCCAGGGCAATGAGATGGCTCCAAGAGACTGGAGCAAGAACTGTCAATCCTGACTCTCTGGGCACAGGGTTCAGACCTCAAGACCCGGCAAAGTAGGACTGATACAGCTTCTTGAGGTTCTTACCCGGGACTATGCTGTCCAGAGTACAGGGCTCCTGGATTGATGCTGCAAGAACCAGCGGCGGCAACCGCACCGTGGTCCGCGCCCCAGGCTTAGGGACCTATGTCCTCGAGTGGGGCCGCGCCCCCTGCAGGCTTGACGCCTGACCTGATCACGACCCCTAACTCCTACAGAGGTAGGGACTGATCGCAGAGCACAGCCCAGAAGAGAGGGGCTCGTCAGCCCTCTAAGAACTGCCGAGACCCCCAAATTCCGAGGTGGCCTTGTAAGATTTCGCAATAGGAGGAAGGCTCAGAAAGGCTGATTTGAGAAATGGGATCTGAAGTTTGAGATTTTACATGCCTATTTGGAAATACAGGAATAACCAAAATTAAGAAGATATTGTTTCTTCCCACCCCCCTCCCCGGAATCCAATTATGCCTTATAAGGTTACAACCTGAGAGTTTGCCTGGCTGCCCTTGGAGCCTTCACTCATCCATTGTAAACGTGAGCATTGACTGCCAGGGAGCACACTAATGCTTCACGTATGTTAATCGCTCTACAGTTTTCAAAGCACTGCCACATCTTTATTTCTTTTGATCCCCATACCAACCCTTGAATTAAGCAAAAAAAGTAACATTACTTTTACCATTTCACCAAACAGAAAACTGAACTTTAGAGAAGGCAAGAATCCTGCTCAGAGTCACGTTAGAGCTAGTAAACTATAGAGCTGTAATTCTGTCCCCTCCCCCCTTCACACACACCGCAAGCCAGCAATGAAGACTGGGGCGCGGTGTGAATTCTTCTATGCTGGGGTCATCACCTTGTCAAGGGGGAGAGGAGAGCCCCAGCCCCCGCCCAAAGATTTGTGCCTGTTCACGATGAATCACCCCAAACATGTTTGTCACCTGTACTCTCGCATTGCTGCTTCTTGACTTCACTTTCCTACTTCCCATCTCGGGGCCAAACTGGGGAGGGCAGGCTTAGGCCTGCGGGGCTCCCTGCTTCTTGCAAGAGGGTTTCTGGTGTCCTATCACCTAAGTGTCAGGTCCTAAAGTCTAGCACCTAGACTGAGAGGCCCAGGTCGTGAGACCACTGGGGCGCTGCTGACCAGCTTCTAGTCCTCACTCTATGACTATTTGCTGTGTGAAAGTGGGCAAGTCACGTCCCCTCTCTCTAGTTTTCCCATCTCTAACTTGCCCTCAGCAGATCTCTAAGCTTCCTTCCTACACATTCTGCCATATTGGTTCTGAGGCACAGCACAAAGGCGGCTGGGTGCTAGGCGGCCCGGACCTTGGCCACAGCCAGGTCTGCACTGCACACTGCTGGCTCAGCCACCTTCTCGCTCTCAGGACTGAACCGTGGACATTGCACCTGGAGAAGGAAGGGCCGAGTCGAGGCCATTTATTCTGAGGACTCTTCCCTGAAGGAGTCACCTGAGACGATATGAGTTCCAGCTGAGAGCAGGGAACAGATTCCTGGCTCTGGTAAGGACTCAGGGCACCAAGAGTCAGGGGGGCGTAGCATGGCAATTCTGCCCGGCTCAGGCCGCCTATCTGGCCGCAGGGCAATTTCAGCAACAGATCTAGTCAGGCGTTGGGTCTGTCTGCCCTGCGTGTCTACTTTGTTTCCAGAAGTCTCCCAGCCTAACCTGTTTTTCTCACTTGTCTCCCATTTCCCATCTCTTTTGTCGCTTCCCCCGCTGGGGCTCAGGGTCTCCCCACTGACTCTGTCCAGGACGGGCTGTCAGTCTGCCGGGGGCTGCAACCTACTTGTCGCCGGCTTCCAGCTGGGTCAACGCCAGGACAGGTTTTACTTTCATTTCCCTGGCTTGCGCCCCTGGCTGCAGAGGAGGTCAAGGACAGCTGGGCGTTGGCTCACAGCCAAGGGAGGTCCCGTGGTCGGGACTCGTTCCTTCCAGTCCCTGCCAGCCCTGGGGGGTTGTATGGGCGGAGGACTCTTCAGTTGTACTTCGTTGCCTCCTCGCTGAGTCCTTCAGGAAAGCCCCTGGTTCTGTGCGAGAAACCAGGCTCTTGCTTCGGCTGCAGGAGCGTTGAGAAGCGTGTTCTTGGCGCAAACTTGGCTTTGAGCTGCTGGAGGATTCAAGGAAAGCGAACCCAAGATTGGAGTTTCGTCTCTGCTCCATCTGGCTCCAGTGCCTACGCCAGCGGCGGCGTCTCAGTGCCAGAAATTCCCACCTGAGAGCCTTGGCACGCGCCTTATCTGCCCAGGTGCGCTTTGTCACTCTGGCACTTAGAAAGCTGACGCTCGAGAACCCCGCCAATTCTTTCTCTAAGTCAAGTCCCAGATTGGCAGCTCAGAGGATTTTGCTAGAACATTTGTATCTTCGAAAGTGTGTATGCGTGTTTTGTTTGCGTTTGCGTGGGCGGGCTGCAGGGAAAAGAGTACTCTCCAAAGAGTCGGGGATTTGAGCAGAAAAAAAGATAAAAGAATTTGCCAAATCTTGAGATCCATTTCCCCTCCCCCACCTTGTGCAATCTCGTGTTTGCTTACTTAATATTGTAAAGACCAAGGAAATCATGATAATGCATTTTCGGTTCAGTGATCAGATCTAGAAGGAAACTTCGCTTGGGAGTTCCGGTGATTTGTTAAAACGGAGTAGCATCCATCTGAACGGCACATATTGCAGATTCACATGGAGCTCGGGCAGTTCAAGGAAGGAAGGAAGTGAAGAAAAAAACATCTTTAAAATGTCGCTGGCAAGAAAAGAAATCTTGGTTAATGAAGATCCACGTTTTTTGTGCCTAAGAATTGTAAGAGGTCAGACGGTAAATAAACCTTAAAGCACTGTAATAAATGTATATATCCTGACATCATACAGAGACACAAGTACAAATGTGCTAAAGGCTTGTTACATAGTGGTGTCTCAATTTCTTCTCACTCCAGTTGAATTATTTTGAGGCACTATATTCAATGGGAGCTCTGGTAGCATAGTGGCTAAGACACTTGCCTGCTAACCAGACGGCTGGCGGTTCAAACCCACCAGCCACTCCTCGGAAGGAAGGTTGGGCAATCCTACTTCCGTAGTGATACTGCCTCGGAAACCAAAGGAGGGGTCGCTATGAGTCGGGTTTGACTCGATGGCACATAACAACAACAACTATTATTCAATATAAGGAGATCTGGTGGCCTAGTGCCTAAGGCATCTGACTGCTAACCAGAAGGCTGGAGGTTCAAACCTACCAGCCACTCCGGAGAAGGAAGACTGGGCAATCTACTGTAACGATTTACCGCCTGGGAAACACAATGGGGGGCTCTATGAGTCCGAATTGACTGGATGGCAGTGAGTTTGGTTTTAGTTTTTATATTCAATATATGTGTTAGTAATGTTTGGAGTTTAAAAAAAATTGTGGTGCTTTTTCATCTAACACTGAAGACAGTCCCTAAAGCCAGTAAGACCACACTCAGGTCATTCAGAAAAGTAATGAGAAACAATAAATGACATTAATGATATTAATAAGAATAAGGAAAATAGTGGCAAAGTGAATTGCATAATTATCTCAAATGCTTCTTTATTCAAACAGGACATTTTATAATATATTTATTATTCATAGTTCAAAATGCCTTTGTTTAGCTGAGGGTTGGTTTATAGAGTTCATTGGACAATAAGGTTCAAGAAGTGTCCTGGAGACATAATACAAAGTAGTTTAGAGAAAGGACAAACAGCCTTTTGGATTTGGTCACTCATACAGAGAAGGAGAAAGGATATAAGGCTCGGAGCAGTTTTTTTTCCAATTTCTGACTTCTCTAAGGAGCTAATAAAAATATAGATCTCTGGTGATGTAGTGGTTAAAGCATTTGTCTGCTAACCAGAAGGTTAGCGTTTCAAACCCACTAGCTGTTCCATGGAAGGAAGATGAGGCAGTCTGCTTCCACAAAGATTTACAGCCTTGGAAACCCAATTGGGGGGGGGGGGAGTCACTATGAGTTGGAATCTACTCAATGGCAGTAAATTTTGTTTTTTGATTTGGGCCAAGTTGTGAATTCTGATACAGATTAAAAAGCACTAATTCTATATCTTTAGGAACTCTGGTAGCATAGCAGCTAAGACACTTGCCTGCTAACCAGACGGCTGGCGGTTCAAACCCACCAGCCACTCCTCGGAAGGAAGGTTGGGCAATCCTACTT